TTAAATCCTATCCTACAGTTAAAATTAGATTAGATTTAGATTAGATTCAACTTTATTGTCATTGCACATGTAAGGTACAAGGCAACGAAATGCAGTTAGCATCTAACCAGAAGTGCAATAAGCAGTAAGTACAGGATATACAGTGTCTACAATATGTTACAAATGTACAATAAATATACAGATAAGGCAGTACTATGGACATAATTTACAGATTTTTAAATACTATCAGCATGATATACAGATAGGTATACTATGAACATACTATACATATGGATTATGTAATAAGTGTATGTACACTATAAGCAGAAACTATGAACATATGAACATCATTTACAAATGAATATGTAAGCGATACATTAAGCTGTACAAAACACTAGTGCAATGGAAATTTTAAAAAGTGCATAGAAAATATTGCAGTGTGCAAATGGATCATTCAGTATTCTGGATGAACAGACAGTAGTGCAAGTAATAACAAGTGTAACAGTTGGATGGGAGGAGTGTGTAGTGTAGTGGTGGGGGGGGGTCAGCGGGCAGAATTCAGTAAGGAGACAGCTGTAGAGAAAAAGCTGTTCCTATGTCTGCTGGTCCTTGTCCGGGGGCTCCTGAAGCGCCTCCCGGAGGGCAGGAGGTTAAACAGTCTATGGTCAGGGTGAAAGGAGTCCTTAAGAATGCTGCGAGCTCGACGTAGACAGCGTTTCCTCTGGATGTCCTCAATAGCAGGAAGTGGTGTCCCTGTGATGCGTTGGGCGGTTTTCACCACCCTCTGCAGTGCCAACCTGTCCTGAAGTAAAGCGTCTGCTCCTGTTGGCCACACTTTGATGGTCCTCATTGATGGCTTCACACGGTTGATGAGGGGTGAATACTTAGGGGTGAGAAACAAAGAAAGGTGATCAGACTGTCCCAGGTGGGGGAGGGGGGTCGCGATGTAAGCTCCATCAATGTTTGTGTAAACATGATCCAAAGTTTTGTCTCCTCTAGTGTGGCAGGAAACATGCTGATGAAATTTGGGGAGCACTGTCTTTAAGTTGGAGTGATTAAAATCACCCGCGACAATAAATGCAGCCTCCGGGTGAGCGGTCTGTTGTTTACTAATGGCCGCATGCAGTTCGTTCATAGCAAGCTTGGCATTAGCATCCGGTGGAATATAGGCTGCAGTTATAATGGTGGAAGTGAACTCCCGTGGCAGATAAAAAGGTCTACACTTAACCGTGAGAAACTCTAGGTTAGCTGAGCAGTGTTTCCCAACAATGACAGAGTTCGTACACCAAGCTTTGTTAACATAAATGCACAATCCTCCGCCTCTGGTCTTGCCGGAGTCATCTGCCGTCCTATCTGCCCGGAGCGTGTAGCGTCCGGCTAGCTCAATAGCATTATTGGGTACGTCGCTGTGTAGCCATGTTTCTGTGAAAACCATGACGTTGCAATCCAAAAGTCTCTTACTGTGGGTGATGCGAAGTCGTATCTCATCCATTTTGTTCACCAATGACCGCACATTAGCGAGGAAAATGCTGGGTAAAGAGAGCCGGAGCGGTGTTAGCTTAAAATAGGTTAAAATAAACCTATTGTTGTTGTTGTTGTTAAAATTAATTGACACAAGGATTGATATTTTGTTGCAATGACTTTCAGACATTTTTATGACTGGCATGTGACCTTTGCCACTGTTGGTTTTAGTAGCTGACTGATATGAGCCTTTCAGCCGGTGCTGATATCTAGAGTGCAGGGTGCTGAATGGCTAAATATTAGCCTATCTAATGAATCTCTCTGAATGATATATCTATCACTAGTTATTTTGTACCAAACCTCCATAGTTACAATAAACAGATGCATTATATTTGTATTATTATTTAAGCAGGTTAACAAACTAAATGTGTCTGTTATTGATGATGGATCTGCTCCACAGTCTAACTCTAGACTTCACACCTTCCCGACCCATCAGTCTTATTCTGCAGCTCTGCACAGCCCCAGCTTGACATAACTCCATCTCTGCATCGCCACCGCCACCTCATTCTAGTCTACTGTGCTTAATAAATGGCCATCGACCGCCTTTCACTCACTGTCGTTTGAAAGGCCTGGCTCTCTGAAGGACACTGAGTTCTTAGAGAGAGCGCGAGACCAAGCATGGTAAATATCATCCGTTTTTTCTGCAGAGCCTGGAAACCCACAGACCGCATGAAAGGATAGCAGTGATTCAGTGTCCAGTTGTGCATGCACCTTCACCATCAGGTCAGCCTGCATATGCTGCCTTTCACTGACTTCTAAACCTTCAGTCTGCCCTGGCTCTGTGCCTGAGACTGACCTTTATATCAGGCAGAGCTCTCTTCTTCCAGCAGCCGAGAGGGCCGTGTCACTGTTTCTGCTTCTGGAAGACTCAGTTTGCCGAGGGCACTGCCAGTCTGGCCTGTTTCCTCACTTCAGCCCACTCACAACACATATCACCCACACCTCGCTCCGCTACACCCGCCTGTGCCTGCAGAGGCCTTTAACCTCACTTATACACACGGCTGCCTAAAATAACTACTGGCTATGACTGAGATAGTCGCTTTTGTTCCTTGGAATCAGTCTTAAGTATTATTTACTTAAATAGGATTGAATTTTAAATTTGCTTTTATTTTTATATTTTCAGTTTTCATTTTCATTTTGTAATTGTGTTATGTGCTTTTGTCTTTTTTATTACTTTCTTTTAATATTTTTTTCATTCTTGTTTTCAGTTTTCAATTTAACACTTCAACTTATTTTATTTCGGTTAGTTTCAGTTCAGTTTTTTTCATAGATAGATAGATATCGATATATTAAGATTTTTTTCTTTTAAATTAGCATTTTTAGAAGGTTTAGGTTCAGTAATTTTCCTTTAATGGCAATGAAAAGGTTATTCAGTTATTAAAATGCCTTTTTTTTAATGTCTAATGTTATTTTCATAGGAGCCTGATAAAATGCTAATTTAAAAGAAAAATATCAGACAGACTCTCAGAGGTTTTTGCATATTTATCTGAAGTCTATATATATATTGATTACAACATTGATTACAAAATATATGTATGTGTATATATATATGTGGAGTGAGAGAGCATTTTTGGGCATAACAGGTGGTGTTATTGAATGGCATTGATGGCATTCAACTCTGATGGCATTTTGTGAGGTTGGCACGTTCAAATCTATACTCAATTCTGGGCATTTTAGGTATTTAAATTGTTTAGTGTTTACTTCATAATTAGAATTTATAGGCAATATAGGTGTGTTCAAATCAAACATAGACACAATTGTTGAGAATCATAAACATGTTTAAATGTTTCGCTCCAATCTAGACAACATAATTGGACATCAAAGACACTTTCAAGTCAATCTCAACAGTATTTCTGGGTTTCACGGGCATGTGTGAATGCTTGAATCAAACCTAGACTTCATATTTGGGCATTGTGGACTTGTTCAAACCAAACATCTTTAAACATTTTTGGGCATCATAGATGTTTATAAACCAATCTAAAAGTATTTTAAATCATCAGACTTGTTTGAATCAAAACTAAACAAAAAGATGGTGTGATTGAATGTTGTAATCAAACCTCACTGGCTTTCACTGGCTGTTCAACCTGACCCTCAACAGCATTTCTAGATTTCAGAACGTGTGAATGCTTGAATCAACCCTAGAGACTGTTATGCATCACAGACTATTCAAACCAAACATCTTTGGACATCATAGGTATATTCATTTCAAACTTAGTATTTTGGGACATCCTAGACAAAAAACAAAAAAAAGCATTATTACACTTTCCAACATTTCACTGCAGTGTGTGGAAATGCAAATACTTCAGTTCAGAATATCAAATCATGGTATTCTGTCTTTCAGATCCAGCCGAGGTGTGAATTGCTATCAGCACTAATTTAGTTGCCGTATTTGCCCGAGTACCTGATTTGCATAATTCCTTCAATGAATCAGTTGCTAAAATAAGGCAAACAAATAAACGAAATCCCATTCAGACTTTGAGACTTCAGCAATGATCAGACAGACAAGTCATTTAATGCTTGATTAACATGTTTACAGACACAGCATGTCATCCAAAGTCCATGACTGACATCTGAATCGTTTTGTTCCACATGCTCACATTCTTTGCCTATAGTGTTGTATTGAAGCTGTATGCATATGTTGTATCCTCTATTCAGTGGAGTATTATGTTCTTTCCAATGACATGAGCTGACATATATATATATAAAGCTCATCATGAGCTGCCACAATAAACAGGAGTTAGTGTGATGTTGGTGATGATGGATGGCGAGTATTAGGGGGCAAGTGTGGAGTCCAAAGAGACTTAGGCCTACTTATTTATAGTGACTGGCTTACAGCCAAACATGCCTGATCTGCTTTGCGTCCGACTCCGTTTGGACCCCCAATCGGGCATGCAGTCCCCTCTGAGTCCCAGCAGGTGCTTCCTTCATCTGCATTCCCATAGCTTGTTAAGACCGTCTCTTCAGTCCTGATGGAAAGCACGGATTATCACCAGCTCGTCTGCACAGCATCGCTGAGTAATCAGCTAACACCAAAACAGGCCAGTTCAGTATGGCAGGCTTTGCACTTGTAATCTAGTCATGTAACAAGTGCCGGGTTTCATTGATTATTCCTTCTCAGCCTGGTTTTCTCAATGCAGCTTTGTGAACCTGGAGGTTCTAATGCCATGTTCTGCAAATTAAACCAGCCGAGAGAAAGATCCGTGGTCTGGACTGTGACATGTTGAGTTTGAGTGCTCTCTATGGTAATACTATCAAATAAAAGTGACAAAAGGCCAAAAATATGTCAGTCTGATGATTTGGCACATTAACGTTTTTAATGATCTTCTAGATGAACACTGGTCTTTTAGATTAGAATTGGATAATGAATCATTTTAATGTCAAGGTCGTAAAAAAAAAAGAGCTATGGACTTAATGTGGTGAAAAATAGAGATCAATATCTAGATAAAAGAAAATGTCAAAAATTCTGGTAGTGTAATATTCTTTTGTGCTTGTCTTCAAAGACCTGCCTCCCCCTGCCACCAGAGACAGACCGCCCGGCTGTAAGACGGTGTTTGTGGGAGGTTTGCCAGAGAACGCCACAGAGCAGCTCATTGTGGAGGTGTTTGAACAGTGTGGGAGTATCATCGCCATCCGCAAGAGCAAGAAGAACTTCTGTCACATCCGCTTCGCTGAGGAGCACACAGTGGACAAGGCCCTCTTCCTGTCAGGTACATGATCGGGAGGATTTTCTTGTGTCACTGCAACACCAACAGTTGCTCTATTTGAGAATGTTTTTATTTATTTAAATATGGACATATATATGAATAATGAGTAATAATATTTAAGAATGGTTTAAATGACTATAATATATATTTACATAAATATAATATATACATATATTTCATCAGGCTCCTATGAAAGTATCATTGGACATTTTTGAAAATAAGGCATTCAATAACTGACTAATAACTGTTTCTTTGGCATTAAAGTAAAATTACTGAACTTAAACATGTTGAAAATGCCTGATGAAAATGCTCATTTAAAAGAAAAAAATCTTTTTGCATCTGAAGTCTTCTTCTGCGTGTGTGTGTGTGTGTGTGTGTGTGTGTGTGTGTGTGTGTGTGTGTGTGTGTGTGTGTGTGTGTGTGCGTGTAAATGACTATAATATATATTTACATAAATATAATATATACATATATTTCATCAGGCTCCTATGAAAGTATCATTGGACATTTTTGAAAATAAGGCATTCAATAACTGACTAATAACTGTTTCTTTGGCATTAAAGTAAAATTACTGAACTTAAACATGTTGAAAATGCCTGATGAAAATGCTCATTTAAAAGAAAAAAATCTTTTTGCATCTGAAGTCTTCTTCTGCGTGTGTGTGTGTGTGTGTGTGTGTGTGTGTGTGTGTGTGTGTGTGTGTGTGTG